ATTTTTCATATATGCAAGGATTTGGTCCTCCCTCATTTTTATTAAAATATTAAGTGTGAAAATAGAGTAAAAAATATTTATAAAACTATATAGCTTTCCATCACTAGTAAATAAATAATTAAATAATTAATTTCTATTTTGAGTCTAAAATGACTGCACATTGATTTTGTTATTTAATTATTTAGTTTATTTCCTGTTATGATAAGTAGCATATAGTTAGTGGGGGTGTGACTCTAAAATAAGAATAATGTGTTATAAGCTTTGTAATAAATTTATTCGTAATATCTACGAGTAGCATTTCTTTTAGTCACATTTAAGTTAGATTTCAATCTTTTTCTTTATACTTTAGTCGTGTTTGACACATACATGATTTTATGGAAACTATTACTTGATCACCATCGAAGTTGTCAAGCAATAAGAGAGACTGTGGCATGAAGACGACTCCTATTAAAATGTGATTTATAAGCATGCTTTCATAGCATGACTAATGCCCTCAATATGATATCCCGATGTGAGGTTTCCTTGGTTATTACTATTGAGCATCAACTAGACGATGTACCCATCTTGATTGGACTTGTTCTGGGTCATGATATTTTTCCATAGTTTTACGGAATTCGTCCACGGTAACTCTGTGATTAGTGCACAAATATTTATGCACATTCACTATTAATGGAACTATCAAACATATATTTGGTTAAATTTCTATGAAAAATTATCAATTAAAATAAACAACAACAAATTAATCAAGCATATGTTTGGTTAAATTTTATTTTATTTATAACCAATACTAAAATATAATTTTAGTATTAAATGAAGTATCGCTTCGAACTTGATCAATAATAAACGAATAATAAGCAAATATTAATTAATTTCAATTCAACTTTTACACTAATATTGAATTTATAGGCCAGAATATTACAATTATTTATAGCATAATACTTAATTTTGTTAACATATCTCATATTTGAGAATATAATTTAAAAACCGTGCTTTGCACGGGTCTAAATACTAGTTTACATAATATTGTAATGATATCCAGGTTGGAGTATTAAAGTGAAATGAAATTGCAACTTGTGGGATATCACTATATCAGAGTGTTTAAAAGTACTTTGCTGAAAATATAGTGAAGTTTGGAGTACCAAAGTGAAAATAAGCCTAGCACTATTGAGCAATAGGTAAGATCCAAATCTTATCCAATTAATAACGGGTCAACTGGCTTGATCTAGTGTATGATTGAATCCAATTATGACTAACCCATACTCCCTAATTTCGGGTAGAAAATATTAAAAAGCTTAGTACACAGATGAGGATGTACCAAACATGGCAATATGCTTAATTGAACTAAAATAGAAATGCATTTTTACATAAATACATGGTTAAAGTCTACCTACAACGAGTATGAAAATTATCCAAATGTTTGAACTCATTCATGGCTTTATCTGTACTGCAGTATTAAATATGCTGATGTCTTTCATCTCATCTTCTTCCAGCTGCAAAGTTTTACTTAGTCAAGTGTGAAAGCATTTGGCTATTGAGTCTAATTTGATGCGTCTGGCACAAAAGTTGACAACGACTCCTCATTCTAGAGCTTGCTGCCTTTGACCTTAAAACTTCATCAACTGTATCAGCAACAAATCATCCCTCTCAATTTCTTTATTTTTTTTATTTATTGTTTTTATCCAGCTGCTTGGCGAACATTTGTATAGTTAATGCAATGAAGAAATCAATACTATTATGGATAACCAAAAATGGCATTATCGCAGATGTCCAGATTGTTTTAAGAAAACAATTGATGCGGAAGATACTTTTCTGGTGCGCAAAAGTGTGACAGAAGGTATTGCAGAAAATAGGTATGTAAATATTTACATATGATCCACAATTACATACCATATAATACTGATAATTAATGAGTTGGAAAAAAAATTATACAGCTACAGGATAACTATGGAAGTTCAAGATGAATCTGGCAAAAACTACTTTTGTTGTTATGAACAAGCTGAATAAATTGGTGAAAATAACCGGCTTCAAGAGGTTGCACGAACAATAAAATATGTGAGTTCATCTTCCTCTTAAAGTTTTTTGAACAACATTTTATAACACATTCAGTATGTGCTTAAAAAATATTATTATTTGATCAGGTTAATGGCAGGGAAGTTTTCCACGCGATATAATTTTGTGGAAGGTAATGAAGGTTTCACAACAACCAAAGTAATAGAGGAAAATTCAGACAGTAGAAGTGCAATTGAATTTAATTCTACAATTCAGGTAAAAATTTTCTTCATATTATTTATATAACTTTGTAAAGCACGTATCTAGAAACTTACCTCTATATATATATAGAAATCTGCAGAGGCATCAATCATTAATTTACTTGAGGATGCGCCTCCACCGACTCCGCAACCAATAGCATCTTATAAAAGCGGACTCACACCTATGCCTGCACCATTATTGGATATAAAATCGAAAAAAGTCCACTTAAACTCCTTTTGGAGTCCGCCGTACCCCGGTTCGAATCCTCCCAGTCCCCAACAATCCGCAAGGAGCTACCCCTTAAGTCCAGGGGCTCATCCCCAGCACATGGGCGAGCGGTGTGTGGACCTAGTGTAACTTTTATTTGAGGGTAAACATAACTTCTTTGCAAAGACAAGGCAAAAGGATGGATACAGGAGATCTACACGACCGAGACAGCATCAACGGACGACGACTCGACATCTCAACTCGAGTCGAGTCGACGGCCGAGACGACTAAACAGATGGACGAGACGAGACTCGACCCAAACCAACAATGCATATGGACTTCCTCCACTGCCTGAGGGGCGACAAATTAAGGGAACAGGTCGATGGGCGGATTGTGGATGCATGAGGGCGTCGTAGGGGGTGCCTTCATCCTGCGTGATATCTCGACGATTGGAATCATCGCTCCCGCGCGCACATTCAGAATTATTTTCATCATACGTGAGGCAGAAGGCTCAAGCATTCATCGTACAAATGACTTCATCTTAAATTTGAGGTGTTTAGTACCAAGAATCTTTTAGTCCAGATCGCCTCCTCGTCTCGTCGTTGATGGCGTAAGTTTTGCATGACTGGGATTCGCTTGGTTCACGGCGAAAGTAAGTCCGAGGCCACCAAAAAGCTTCTTCTTTGATCCCGCGATCCGCCCAGTCACGTACACGGTTTCCTTCGCCCCGCTCGACCCTCAGCTCCTCATTTAGTTCGTTTGAAAATGAAATTAAAGCTTTTGTCTTCATAACACAACTGGTGATTATAGTTTTATATCATAATAATATCATGCAGCATACTGTCCCACTACTAAAAGTTTGCCATGAGTTGGTTAAATGCTACTGTAGTTATTTGGAGAAATTGGAAAAATGTGAGTAGCACACGGAACTGGCAAACAAAATAAATGGGAGTAAATGCACGGGGCTGTCCGGTACGATCAACTTTGCAGCTGATTTAGGTATGACTTAAAAAAAGATAGGGTGGTTTATGTATATCAACGTGCTCTTCAAGAAACTGTTGTGCGCAGCGAAAATTTCGGCAGAGTTTCTGGTGCACAATAAGAGAGAAAGATCAATAATAAGAATTCCCGTCTCACCAAGGAGACAAGAATCTGAAGCGGATATCTCAACCAAGTGAGATATCGGCTCTTCCTCTCATCAGTTCTAGGACTGACCTGTCGAGGGATCCTAAAAAGCTATTACAATGGCCACAAACTCAAACAACCAATTTTACGTGGTTCGGGAAACTGCCTACGTCCACGGGGCAAGGAAGGGGAGATCTACTATTAGAAAGAAAAAGAATACAAATAGGTTTACAACTCTCACAATTAAACCCTCAATCTAATCTCTTTCTTCCTCTCGCAAAAGCCGCTGACTTTTTCTTCTTTCTCCTGTGCTGCGCACCTGCTCTCTGCAGCCTTTGTTTTTCTCCTTCAATTCCTGCACGAAACCCAAGCCGCCTTTGCACACTTCTGTCTTCAAGCCGCCGGTTTTGATTTCCCTTCAGCCTCCGCGCACCAAAAACCTAGGAACAAAACTGTTCCTATATATAGCCTGGCCCCTTCACGTGTTCACGAGAAAAAAAGAAACCCGCTGGACTTCTCCCACGAACAAAGTCGTGGCCCCCGCAATCAAGTCCCCTCACGCGGTTTTGA